TCCTGCTCTTCGTCCACTGTCAGGTATAAAAACAATTTTTGTGTGTTTTTTGTAAGAACATTATCTTTGTAGGTAAATCAGTTTCACTGAACTTTTGTCTCTTGGCATCATGCTGTTCCCAGTGAAACATTACAGCAGCTCATGTGTGTTGAATGCCAACTGTTCAACAAATGTTCTGACCTTTCTGATGTTGTTTATTCTGTATGCCCAGGATTGTGTCAAATATGAAAATGGACGGGAAGTCAATGGCCAGACCATCGTAGTGGAATGGGCTAAAGGATCAAAGGATAAGAGAATGGTAAGTGTCTGTGTAACTGTTCTGTTAAATGCGTAATCATCATCACCATCAACTGTCTTGCCAACTAGCATAGGTGATCCTGTCTGTCCACAACCTGCGCTCTGCAACAGCATGTATCACTTCATGAGCTGACACACCTTTGTACTATGACAGAATGTTGCAGAGAATCTTTTCATGAATACCATGACCAGTTGCAATACATTTTTTTTTTAACAGTGCGGAATATGGATAGCTTTATTGATTGTAAAAGTTGTTAACCATGCAAATGAGCATTCTGAACACGCGGAACTACGATTCACATGGGAAGTTACAGCAGCAAGCCAAGAAGTAAAAGTTGAGGACCCCTTTTCCATGCCTTTAGGCATATAGGGCTAGACCTGCATTTTTTATAGACCAAACATAACAAGATGGGTGATGTGATCAGCATCACGCCGGCCGCCTTTACTTCCCAGGACTGTACCTGGTACCCACTCAAGGTTGGGTCACCCTGGGAGTCTTTAAAAAAAAAAATCTGGCTCCATCGGAGAGCAAACCATGGCCTTCCTATCCGCACACCAGTGTCTAGCCGTTATGCCACAGCGACCTCCAAGTTACTATAGTACACCCCCGTTGGGAAAACAAGAATAGACCCACTGCCTCCCCAAAAGCATGTCGTAAGAGCCGACTAATTGGGGAGCTTCCTTTGAAGTCGGAGTGCATCAGCTGGAGAGGTAAGGAACCAATAGTCTGTATTAAAGAGAATGAGATCTGTAAAACTGATGCACAGGCAACACTCAGATTCTGGAGCAGGACTGCAGTTTAGTAGTGGATGAGCAACCAGAGTGTACAGCTGGTGAACGCGAAGAAGATTATAGTACACATGTTATAAATGTGTAGGGATTTAAAGAGCAGAAAAGTAATTCAACAGTGCAAATGCTATTTTAAACATAGAAGCTATAAATTAGTCTCACAAGGTAATTTGTTAACCATGTAAATACCATTTGATAGAATGTATGTTTGAGTGACTACAGTGTACCATTTTTGCTTTGCCACTATTCAGACTCGGAGGTCTGATTCATCTTCCCAGAGCTATGATGAGTGTTTCCGTTGTCGCCGCACGGGTCACTGGGCCCGGGACTGTCCTGAGCTGAGATGGGGAGGAGGAGGAGGAGGAGGCAGACAGGGTGGAGGCGGCGGTGGTCGTGGTGGGGGCGGTGGACGTTGGAGGTCACCATCCCCGAGACGCAGGTTTGTTTGTTGTTCTTGCTTTTTTAAAAGTATATTCTTCTGCTTTTACTGGCCTTAAACTCTGGCGGGGATCTCGGTCCTAATTGTACTTTGATGGGTTTGTTTCAGGACATGCGAAGTTCCTGGACTGTCAGGCAGATACCTTTCTACTAGGAAACATTACTGTTGACATCTGCCAGGTCCCAGTGTGGGACATGTTTCTTTGCTGTCCACACAATAGTGTCAATAGATTTTGACTGGTTTGATTTCCATCCCCACCCCATATGTGTTGCCAGGGGTAGTGGTTCACCTGTGCTTTAAACTTCATTGTTAAACTGCAGGAAATGTCTTTGGATATAAGTTATGATATATGTGGGCATTACTGTTCATTTAATTGATAGTGACAGATGCTTTTTATCCTGGGAAATCTAACGTTTTTTAAGTTTGTCAACTATTTTTAATTTCAAGGTCATGTTTTTTGCACATCAGGCCTACTCAAAAGTGTCATGATCTATTCCGGAGCATCTTTCTTAGTGTGCCTGCACTAATGACTCCTGTTTTGTACTGGTTGATGATCTTTTCCAGAGCATCTTTCTTAGTGTGCCTGCACTAATGACTCCTGTTCTGTAGTGATGATTCTTTTCCAGGAGCATCTTTGCAACTAATGACTCCTGTTTTTGTACTGGTTGATGATCTTTTCCAGAGCATCTTTCTTAGTGTGCCTGCACTAATGACTCTGTTTTGTAATGATGATCTATTCCGGGAGCTGTCTTAGTGTACTGCACTAATGATCTTTTCCACTGGTTGATGATCTATTCCGGAGCATCTTTCTTAGTGTGCCTGCACTAATGAATCCTGTTTTGTACTGGTTGATGATCTATTCCAGAGCATCTTTCTTAGTGTGCCTGCACTAATGACTCCTGTTTTGTACTGGTTGATGATCTTTTCCGGAGCATCTTTCTTAGTGTTGCACAGAGTACTGGTTGATGATCTTTTCCGGAGCATCTTTCTTAGTGTGCCTACACTAATGACTCCTGTTTTGTACTGGTAATGATGACTGGTTTTCCGGAGCATCTTTCTTAGTGTGCCTGCACTGAAATCCTGTTTTGTACTGGTTGATGACTCTTAGTGTGCCTGCACTAATGACTCCTGTTTTGTACTGGTTGATGATCTTTTCCGGAGCATATTTCTTAGTGTGCCTGCACTAATGACTCCTGTTTTGTACGGGTTGATGTCACATCTTAGAGTGCCTGCACTAATGACTCCTGTTTTGTACTGGTTGATGTCTCATCTTAGAGCTCTTGTGTGGTTTTCATGTCATGCTGCTCTAGCTGGTATATCTAAGACTTGGCATCTGAACCAGAGAGAAATTATTCTCTGGTTTTCTTCCCTTCGTTCGTCTGAGTGACGCAGTTGTCAGTTTACAACACAACTGCGATATGTTTGGCTTTTGGGTCAACATTTGTGACTTTATCTGGCATTTGTTCACCGGCTATTACTTCCCATTTTATTTTCTGCGGCATGATGTGGCCATATTTGTGTTGTGTCCATCCTGTCCCTTTATCTTTAGATAGTCGCCTGGTAAACCCACTGAGTCGTCACACACAGCTGCTTGACTTCACATCTGTATGTTGAGCTTCCCGCTCATCATGGACTGTACCTTATGATCATTAAAGAGAAGTTTGTAGGTCCTGGACTTTGGCAGCACAAATGGGCACTTTCTACCTCAGCATGATTATTGATAAGCATCTCAAACTTTGCCTCATTCTCAAGTCTGAGGTCGTCAGCACTTGTCTCATATGGAGATAATGTCCATTGTTTCAAAAGAGGTCTACTTTTTAGAGTGGCGTTGACTGGAAGGGCCTCTGTTCTCTTGTCCTGATGTCAGCTGTCAGGTTGAAGCAGTGTCGCAGCCTTTGTTGTAAAATGTCGCAGGAAAGTTTATTCATCTTTTTGCCAATATACTGATTGGTCCAGCCGGCCAGTGCAGCAACCGTTAGATTTTGTGTGCCCATCAATGCTGGTGTCTTACCTTTAACATTTTATAGTATTAATGTAAGGAGAGCCAGTATCTCCAGGCATTTGTGAATACAGTTGTCTTTGTTTCAAGTATTGTTTGTTTGCCACTGCTCTGTGACTTATTTAGTGTCTAAGAATGTAGTGCTGGCTGAAATTCACAACAGCAGCAGTTACCCACATTTGCAGGATTTTCCCGATTGTACCCCACTCATTTGTCCACGGCAGTTTCTGTTCTAGCAGAACCTTACTAATGTATACCTTGTATAAACAAATGTATGTAATAGTTTCATCTACAAACTCCACTGTCATGTTTGACTCTGTAGGAACATTGCGAGCAGTCCTGCGCTGTAATCTGTCATAGAGGTTATAACATGCCACTGAGGAAGACTGGTTGCTTCACGTGATTAAAAAAAGCAACAACAACAACAAAAAACACCAGCTTAATGCAACCACTCATGTTGTACAGCCATATGTACAAGAACGGCTGGAGTCTACTGGACTTTTGGCATTATTATCCTGTAATACTTCAAAACTGCTGCATACGTGCAGTAGAGAGATCCCAGGTCTCGGTTAATTGGAGACCAAGCTATATAGGTCAGTGTTGATGTGTCCAGCCACGGCTGTCATAGAGGCAAATGGCCATATTATCTGACCACTGGCAGAGGAGGCTATGGCTATAAACTATGTTGTAGTCCATTACAAAAAACCTGCCCTCAGTCTTTACTTATAATATCTCACAAGCTCCTATACAGATAAAGACACATTTTTGTGTGTGCTCTTACATTTCCATCCTTAGGATTTTCATAATTTACTGTTGCACCAACTGTAAGTAACATTTACTCAAATGTTGTCTCTTATTTCCAGTGTCCAGGAAAAGAAATATTATTTAAAAGTTTTAAACACTATTAATTAATTCCCTTTGCATCATTTATCTGAGCAGTTTGAAAACGTTTTGCAGGTCCCGATCTAGGTCACGAGACAGGAGACGCAGAACTCGTAGCCGATCCCGTGATCGCCGCAGACGCAGCAGGTCTAATGACAGGAAGAGGAGCAGCAGCCGCTCTGGTGACAGGAAGAGATCCCGCAGTGGCTCTCGCAGGTCCCGAAGTGGTTCTGATGATAGGAAAAACAGCAGGCGCACCAGGAGTGGATCACAGGATAAAAAGAAACGCGGCTCGGCTAGCAAGTCCAGGTAAGAAAAATAAAGTAGCTTAGTAATTCTTTTTCCTTCCGCTTGACAGAAATGTTTGATTTATTGTTTTTATGCTCCACAAAGATGTTATTTATGTTTTAGTTCACGCAGGATCAGTTTTTGTGTGGGTGCCAGACCTGTGGCTTTGTCTTGGGAGACTTGATTTGTTTGAATAGACTGTTTGAATGCACTAGTGGTGCACCTGAATTTCCAGAACTGCCACTTGATGGTAAACTAGGCACTTCACTAGCACTGTTAGCAGCCTGGCTATCTGCTTTAGTTATTTTATTCATCAGTCTCTGATTTCTCGGGGAAAGACTTAATCACATAGAGGAAAGACTTAATCACATAGAGGAAAGACTTAATCACATAGAGGAAAGACTTAATCTCATAGAGGGAAGACTTAATCTCATAGAGGGAAGACTTAATCACATAGAGGAAAGACTTAATCACATAGAGGAAAGACTTAATCACATAGAGGAAAGACTTAATCACATAGAGGAAAGACTTAATCTCATAGAGGAAAGACTTAATCACATAGAGGAAAGACTTAATCACATAGAGGAAAGACTTAATCACATAGAGGAAAGACGTGTGTAGGTCTAGAATGCTACTAATGTTATAGGAGTGCATGTTCTTCCTCAATGTCACTGTTTCAGTCAACTTCAAAGGTAATGGTGTGTTGGAAAATGAGCAGGCAGATAAACTAGCTGGATGTTGCGAGTGAACAGTGCCAAGGAACAGATAAATTATTACAGTCTGAGGAGAATGGCACTCTGAGAAGTTACAAGGGGGATCTGGCTGATGCTCAACACTCAGGGGAAAGGCGAGACTGATATACAATCAGACAGTTACTGTACCTTTGGAATTTGAACTCTTCTTCGCTTGCTGCTGAAGATGGGGACAGAGCACTTATAGGGGTGTCCCGAGTGCTGTGGTATCAATTCTTAATTCAACATTCAACCTTTTCTATCAACCTCTAAAACTTTTTGTTCAGTGCTGTAGACTGTGCGCGCGTGCAGTCATGACCATCATCTCCTTTAGCCGGCTACTCAAATGAGAAAAGTGCAATTCTTTTTTAGCCGGCCACTTTAATTAATAAAGTGTCAACTATATGCAAAGCTTTATCTTATTTAACGGGTCACTTTACAGACGGGGCACTGCTGCATTAAGATTGTCAAGAATTGGGGGTAAAGATTGTCTAAGCCAAGCACCAGCAAAAGGCACATCAGATGTACTGGGTTTTTGCCAACCAGTCTAGAACTGGCACTATTAACTGCAGGATGCTGATATGTGGGAGTGAGCTGCTGTGGACATATCTAGAGGGCCCTGAGGATAACACCCAACTGACAACTCCAGCAATAGACACATCCCTTTTATTGTGCACTGTTTATTAATTCAAATTTACAGTGAAATATTTAATGGTTTTGTCAGTAATAACATTCAACATGCAATTGAATTTGTGGTGGCAACTCTAGTTCATAAATTGCTTGCAGCGAGTTGAAGAAGCAGTTAATGTGCTTCAAAGTAACATGCCTTACTGATAAACAGGGGATGTCATGATTCACCTTCTCACATGATTACCAGAATTTGGATCAGGCTAGTGTTCTTGTCTTGTCCCACCCATATGGCTAAGCCATCCACGTGTTTATCCTTGCTCCTCTTCCATGAGATCCTGCCAAGTTCTCAAGTCTACTAATTTTTTTTTGATTGTCCTAGGTTACGTTACATGTGTGAAAATACCAGAGATATCTACATTAAAGGTTTATTTTAAGTGATTCGGTGTGTTGTTTTGTTTCAGATCTCCATCAAAGTCCCCTCGTCGGTCAAAGACCCCCCGCCGGTCAAAGTCTGGGTCGAAATCTAAAAGCCGTTCAAGAAGCCCCAATCAGCAGCTTGATAATCATTCAGAACAAGAGGCCAACGGCAAGAGTCCTCCAGACAACAGACGACATGATGATGATGATGACCACCACCGAGATGACTATGGGGATGCCAGTGACCGTCGGTCTAGAAGTGGCAGCAAAGATTAAAACAGATAATGTGAATACAGTGCTTATGTGTAAAGATGTCTCATTCTATATTATAAACATGCTTATAGATCATGAATGTCAATGATGAATTTGATGAGAAAAGGCTAGAGAATGGCAGTTTCCAGGTCTGTGACTTGCTTTAGTTTATGTTAGCCAGTAGACTGGTCAGCCTCTTGATCGTCCTCACACATGATTGTTTAATACAGAGGTCACATTTGAATTTCCTATTGTGTAGTAAATTTGAGACTTTCCAAAGGTTGGACAGTAACTTGTCTTCACAACTATTGCAAAAATATTGTTTTATTGTAGTGTCAGTTATTTTAACTTTCTGTACCCTGTGTAATCATCATTGCCAACAGCTACTTTGTAAGTCACTTTAAAAAAAAAATAATGGAACATTCTTGAAGTTTAAATATGATCACAATACTTCTGTTAATTTTCTGCAGTGGCAGATTTAGTGTTTGTTAGCCTTAACTCCTTATTCTAGATCTATAAATCTGTCTATTCTAAATATCTAAATCTTCATATTTTAGATCTCAAAACTGCCAACTGTCAACCGTTCAGAAAGATCCTTGTTCTGGACTAGAACTAGTAGGAAATTCACGCTTCAGTCACAAGTCTCAGGAATGTGTAAAAGAAAGCTACAGTGAGTACATCAACAACAAAAACACATGATGTGTGGATACTACGGAAAAACCAAATGTCTAGATAAAGAGACACAGCAGCAAAGAGAGAGACAAGTGCCTCTGTGGTGCTGCTGTGATTTTGATATAGCTAGTCTGACATCTGTCAGGTTTTGTGTGTGTGTGTGTGTGTTTCTCCACAAGATTTCAACAGATGTGCCATTTGTACGTGAATGTCTTATGTCGCTCCCATCTCTGTTCACTTGTCACTTCTGGCTCTGTCATTATTTCTGCAGAGTTGTTTATTGATGACCCACCTTTGACTGTCCTGTTGGTACAGATGTTTTTCTTCTCTCTGAATATATGCCCAGTGTAAGTAAAATATTGATAATGTCCAGTTTGCTCCATGGTGTGAGAAGAGAAATTACTCTTGATCATCGATGTGATTGGTTGTGTCTAGCAAATCATTCATTATCGCAAATATGTTATAAATAAAATTGTGGTTTTTTTTGATAACTTTGTTTGGATTTTATTTGTTGATGAGTGCTGTAAATTTGTTCCATATGGGCTGATTACTTTTATTTTGGTTTTGACATATTATAAACAGACATGGCTAACCAGTAGGTTACAAATACTACCTGTCATCTGCTCTGATTGTGTGCCGTCCACAGGCTGTTTGTCCATGTCTTGTCACATTAACAACTAGCAGACCTAATACATGCACTCTATGGACTGAGTCAAAGAATTATGTAATGGATTCCATCCCATTGGAACATACCTGAAGAGGTTGGCAACAGAAGGTGGAAAATTACCCCAGCCTGATAGTCATAAGGTTTATAAGAAGTACTTTATGGCACCAAGAAAGATGATGCATACCACTAGCCACATGCACTGGCAAGACATCCACATGGCTGCATCTGGATACACGAGTTGAGTGATTGATTTTGTGTATTTGTGTGGTTTTGATTTATGTATATGCTGTAGCCGCAATGTTTATGTTTTGTATGTGTTTGGTATATTGTGAAGCTCACTGAAATAATTGCTGCATTTTGCTTGCTTGAGAATTGGCTGTATACATATGCTTTGATTGTAACTGACTGACAGAGCATGTTGAGAAAGGTGGAGGCAGATATGCTCTGTGCAGAGTGGTAAGCTTCTCTTCAGGTAGTCCCGGGTAGTTAACATCCTTTGGATATTCTCTCCAGGCATACCGGTGTGTTGAGAAATGAGCAGGTTGATAGACTAGCCAGTTCTGCACCACTTGGTGGTGAACTGATGTATGAAAAGCTAGATGTGAGGGCCCTCTGGAAGAATGGCGCTGTGAGGAGTTACCAGAGGATCTGGCCAATTTGAGTATATTATATACATCAGTCAGTTACTGGTGTCATCAGAATTGAAACTCTCTGTTTGCTGCTGAAGATGGGGACAGATTATGCTATGATGTTGATTCCTAATTCAAAATCGCAGAACATGACAACTCCTTTGGTGATTAACCGTTCTGGAGCACTATGTTTTGGCTCCGCATTTATGGAAGACTCCTTGGATGGTGGAGAATGCTCAAGTTCTGCCACTGCCTCCTCTTGAGGGATGATCAGCATTACTTGGCTGTCCTGGATTTGAAGAAAAAAAAAAGGGGGGGGGGGAGAACCATCTGGAAAAAGAGAGAAGAATGACTGACAGCACAGCAATGAGACTGCAGTTTTTCGCAAAATTAACAGGAAAGGCTAAACTGGGCAACAAATGTGCATTTACATAGTTGGATGAACGCAGGCAAAAGAGAAGTTTCTCCCCTTGTATTGCTGCCAGCATACCTTTTATCTGCCATAATTTTTCTCCATCTCTGTTTTTTAGAAAGAAAAAAGATTCTGTGTGGAAAATAGAATAGACAGTGCAAAAATCGCATGTTACCTGTAAAGCAAAAACGTTTCAAATACAATTTTAACGGCAAAAACCAATCAGAAATAAACAAAAAAGAAAAAACTTGCAGCAATTATATATTTCACACATCACTTTACGTAGACAGAATAGGCCATTTTACAAAGGTATCTTTTTGATTAACTGAAACATTTTAATACAAAATATATAAATTTATGTCTGTCAACAGAAATAACATTTGTCAATTAAATGAACAAAAGTATAGAATAAAGAATTTGAACTGACTTTAGGATGTCATCATGTAGTATATTCTACAGCCGTCATGAATTAATCAAAAACAACCACACATAAAGCCTCTCTTCTATCTTCGGATCAAATATTTAGTGTAATTTTAGCAAGCAGTGGGTAGAGGCTTGCCAGACAAAATCTCAGCACTGGGTATCAAGGAACACAAACTGCACAGGTCTCAGCACTGGGTATCAAGGAACACAAACTGCACAGGTCTCAGCACTGGGTATCAAGGAACACAAACTGCACAGGTCTCAGCACTGGGTATCAAGGAACACAAACTGCACAGGTCTCGGCACTGGGTATCAAGGAACACAAACTGCACAGGTCTCAGCACTGGGTATCAAGGAACACAAACTGCACAGGTCTCAGCACTGGGTATCAAGGAACACAAACTGCACAGGTCTCAGCACTGGGTATCAAGGAACACAAACTGCTCAGGTCTCAGCACTGGGTATCAAGGAACACAAACTGCACAGGTCTCGGCACTGGGTATCAAGGAACACAAACTGCACAGGTCTCAGCACTGGGTATCAAGGAACACAAACTGCACAGGTCTCAGCACTGGGTATCAAGGAACACAACTGCTCAGGTCTCAGCACATCAAGGAACACAAACTGCACAGGTCTCAGCACTGGGTATCAAGGAACACAAACTGCTCAGGTCTCAGCACTGGGTATCAAGGAACACAAACTGCACAGGTGTCAGCACTGGGTATCAAGGAACACAAACTGCACAGGTCTCGGCACTGGGTATCAAGGAACACAAACTGCACAGGTCTCAGCACTGGGTATCAAGGAACACAAACTGCTCA